CTTTTTAGCAACATCATATGACCCCTTTAAATGTGAAATTAAAACCGCCAGCGGGTGGCAGCAAGTCACTGTTAAGAAGTGAGTCACTGCGATTGAACCGAATCATTTAAACGGTTGATTCATTCAGGAACGAAACCCCGTCATGTTGCACAGAGACGTAAAACAGCGCTGTGGCTGTGTTTGGAATTTTTTGTTAGCAAAATAAAGCAAAAACAGGCAATATAGTGTCTAAAACGTAAGTCTCATAATATTACCTTCTTGTTTATTGAACTGTTGAATAAAATCACATTTGTAATCATGCTGATTTTAGAGGTGAAAACTGGCACTCTTCATGTGATATTGACTAACTTTCTGTGGTATTTTTATGCACAATGGCGTTTAGTCGGAAAAGATCGATTTGCGGCTTTTGAGAATCGATATCTAATCGGCGTCATTTTAAAAAACGATTAATCGAAAAATAAATTTTTTTGCCCAGCCCTAATGGAAAGGATGTACTTTTTTATTGGCTTTTTTTTTTTTTTGATAGGACAGTATAGCAGTGACAGGAAGCAAGTAGGAGAGAGAGAGAGGGGGGCAGGATCGGGAAAGTTCCACGAGTTGGGACTCGAACTCGGGACGCCCGGAGCGCAAGGGCACTATATGTCGGCACACTGCCCACAAGGCTATTGGCGCCGACGAAAGGATGTACTTTTAAGCAGCTGCTATTGGATACTTCAAACTACTTTTGAGTTGAGAAGAAAGAATCCTATGATTCAGCCAAACGAAGGCAGTATGTGTGTCAAGGAAACAACAGGATGAGTCACTTCAGGAGGCCACAACAAAATCCATGCCACCTAATGACCCTTTCCTGTAGCAACTTGGAACTGAAGCAGGTACCTCACTTTACATGGAACCCAACACACACTGACCTAAGCAACTCAGTGATTTATTAATGGGCCACAGTGGTTATTTTAACAAAGGGCCACTAGAACATTACCAGACTTACAACTAGGGATACCGCTATTACTACATGATATCCTTTTCTGCAACATTATCCAATTTGCCGATTTCCAATTTGACCAATTCAAAACCGAACTTATCAGTTTCAGACAAAATAGTTTTGGAGGGTCAAAACAGTGACTTTAAATGAGCACTTCTCAGATTATGCTTTTTTTCCTGCTTATTTCATGCACGATGTGGATGAGCTACAACACGTAAACATGTCAAGAGCATGGATGCACTTTGCTAGCAAAAATGTTGATAGAGTGCCAAATTTATTTGGCTGAAATATCGAGGCAGCTGTTTGCAAAGAACTTTAATTTATCAACAGCATACAGAAGCATACCCAAACATACAAATTTAATTACCAAAGGTTTTTGGTTTCAGTTTTCGGCTAAATGAAGATGAGACAGTCTGATCAAAGACTAAACTATTTCAAGGTTCCACTCAAAATATCACTCTTCTATTAGCCTAATAAAAATGAGAAAATGTTTGACACAAACATACAGACACCAGTTCTACAACAGTGTGAAATATAAAAACAACTGCACGACACCTGCAAAATTTCACTTCCTGGCACATGGGTACGTGCTCAGCACAGCCTGCTCGAAGTATGAAAAATAAATACTTGTCATGACAACCTCACATACCACAGTGAGTCCATGAACACAACAAGATCCACCCTAAATTTAGCTGAGCCAGATCTGTACTGGGAACAAGCTATGGATTCTTACGGCATCGATCATGCCGACAGAAACAGGGGACAAATGGAAAACAGAAGCACACAATGCCCTTTTCCCCCACTTTGGGATGCAAACATGTTCTGAACGCTACAGATATAGGCCACAATGTGGGGCTTTTATCAAAAACACAGCAATATCTGACATGCAAAGACAGCAATATATAAGAATATTTTGATGAAAGTTTGATTAAATAATTAACAATTAGGTTTAACAAAACTCTTGGACACTAATTCAGTTATCCATAAGCACTTATGTTTGTTTATAGAACAAAATGTGCACTTTATAAAACAAAAGCACAACAAATAGAAGGGGAAGATGTTAACAAATTAACACTTTATATTACATTGATAATGTTAAAAAAACATTAATTGTGACTAATTAATTACAATAGCAAACAAAGCACAATTACAAACCACTCAAAATAATTGCACACTAAGTACATGTTGTTCGTTAAAATTACTCCGTACTTATGTAATGATTTAACATGAACACTATGTAAAGAGTCATGAACAAAATCCCAGAAAAAAAGAAGAACAAGCGAGAGTGAATGATGATTCATAACCTTCTATAAAAACATCTGTTATCACACTTCTTTTGAGTGCAAAGACAGCATTACCAACAGACACGTTCCTCAGTTCATCTCATTCCCATGCGAAGCGACACATTCACATGTGCCACCTGCATGGGCTGTGAGTTCATGCATTTGCAGGCATCAAACTGTGGCAGTGCCAAAGTACAAAGAGTTCAAATGCCCTATTTAAACTAGCGCCTAGCTCCTCTTCATCTTGTTCGCTGATAGCTTCCCCACAAACCGTTTACAGAGACAGACTGTACTCCGCACCGCAATGTCACATTACGTTCAAAACCTATTTTGTATGCCTTTCAGTGGCACAAAAGTCTTAAAGGGACAGTTCACCAAAAAAATAAAATAATGATTTACTCAGCCACACACTGTTCCGAACCTGAACTATTTTCTTATTTTACATGTTTTGAAAAGTGTTTTTGTCCTCACAGTGAAAGTTATTGAGTTTAATGTTGTCTTGGACCCCACTAACAGACAAAAACGGCTGAAAAAATCTTCAAAATACATATACTACCATTCAAGAGTTTGTGGTCTGTAAGATTTTTTCTATTTAATAAAAAAAAATGTTTATTTAATTAAAAATACAGTAAAAACAGTCATTTGTGAAATATTATATAAGTATTACCATTTAAAATAACCATTTTCTATCCGAATATAATGTAAACCATAATTTATTCCAGTGATGGCAAAGCTGAATTTTCAGCAGCCATTACTCCAGCCGTCAGTGTCACATGAACCTTCAGAAATCATTTATGATGATTTATGCTGAATATGTTGATTTGCTGCTGAAGAAACATTTTATTTTTCTAATGTTGAAAAAACCGTGATACAATTTCTTCTTATTCTTTGATGAAAAAAAAGTTAAAAAGAAAGACTTTAATTTGAAATAGAAATACTTTGGAACATTATAAATGTCTTTACTGCCACTTTTGAGCTTTTAATGCATCTTTGCTGATTAAAAATATACATTTTCAAAAAAAAAAAAAATTATTATTATATCTTACTGACCCCAGACTTTTGAACTTTTTGAAATTATAATAATGCATAATGTATTGTGTACTTTGTGTTCTAAAAAGCAAGAAAGTCATACATCTTAGGAACAACATGAGGTTGAGATTTAATTTTTGCCTGAATCATCCATTTATTACAATATACTATAGACTGAAAGCATGATAGGAAATTTTGGGGTTAAAAAATACTAATTAAGTTTGACTTAGTTTGAGAACTTTTGAAAACACAAACATCAGGCATGTTCTAATTTAAGACGTAAGATTCCATGTTCTTCCATGTCCCATGAATCACTTCAGCAAACCACATTCTTCCTAAAGAACTGGCAAAGCTGAATTTTCAGCAGCCATTACTCCAGCCGTCAGTGTCACATGAACCTTCAGAAATCATTTATGATGATTTATGCTGAATATGTTGATTTGCTGCTGAAGAAACATTTTATTTTTCTAATGTTGAAAAAACCGTGATACAATTTCTTCTTATTCTTTGATGAAAAAAAAGTTAAAAAGAAAGACTTTAATTTGAAATAGAAATACTTTGGAACATTATAAATGTCTTTACTGCCACTTTTGAGCTTTTAATGCATCTTTGCTGATTAAAAATATACATTTTCAAAAAAAAAAAAAATTATTATTATATCTTACTGACCCCAGACTTTTGAACTTTTTGAAATTATAATAATGCATAATGTATTGTGTACTTTGTGTTCTAAAAAGCAAGAAAGTCATACATCTTAGGAACAACATGAGGTTGAGATTTAATTTTTGCCTGAATCATCCATTTATTACAATATACTATAGACTGAAAGCATGATAGGAAATTTTGGGGTTAAAAAATACTAATTAAGTTTGACTTAGTTTGAGAACTTTTGAAAACACAAACATCAGGCATGTTCTAATTTAAGACGTAAGATTCCATGTTCTTCCATGTCCCATGAATCACTTCAGCAAACCACATTCTTCCTAAAGAACTGCCAACCACAGAGACACAAAGTACAGCCATCGCGGACTGAACTGACCCCATTAGGAAAAAAGCAGACAAGAGGGAACCAAACTAGTCGAAAACTTTATGCGTCGTTTTTTCGTCGTTACATAAATTTAGTATGGGTGTTGCTCCATGGTGGATACAAAGAGAGCTTACCATCAAACTTTAGACAAAAGCTATAGACAGAATTACATAATTGTTCTGACAGGAAGTGCAGCTTAAGTAAACCTTCCTCAGTTTGACTTCCTCAAAACGAACACCACAAATTATATCTTTATACTTGCTACAAATTCCAAAAGACTATTTATGATTAAACAGAGACATGACAAGTAGGGATGCACCGAAATGAAAATTCTTGGCCGAAGCCGCACAAAATGAAACACTGGGCCGAAGGCCGAATACCGAACACAGTTTTTCACATTTTTTCCCCCATGTAGGCCTATTTTGCCCTTTTTTTTTTTTCCACCATTGCATAAATTAAATAGCCAAAATATGCTTTTTACGGTTTTGTCCTGCTTTTCAAATAAAAAATAAATTACAAAACAACAATGTAAAAATATATTTTAGTATTATATTATATATAAATATTAATATTTACTTAACACTGAAAATTTGTTTTACATTCTAGCAGACATTATACCAACAAAGCACAATTTAAGTTAGTAAAATAATATTTTTTGGCCATTTTTGAGACTTGAATCAGGCATGTATTTTTTACTGTACAAATAAAGGCAGCCTTGCTGAGCAGAAATTATTTTATTTTACAGAACAACAGTAAAATTACAATACTAACATTTATGAATGTTGATGGAGTTGTTGCTTTTTCTCGGCTTTTATTTTGGCAGAAACCCACAGGAAGATCTCAGTGCGGGTTGGGCGATGTCTACAAATTTGGCATCGGACGATGTCTACAGTGATCGATGTCTACGATGACATCGGCGTGGGCGGGTGCACGGGGGGGTGCCCGAAGCATGAATCCTTATAAGGGAAAACAACTAATGATTCCTAAAACCGTGTCTACACCGGATGCGAGCGGCACGGCAAAATACTATAGAACCACTGATCTATAATAGAGATTAATTATATATAGATCAGTCAATAGAACTCAGTGATGCTGTCTACACTGGATGCGGCACAGCGTGACACGACAAATCCCTGACAGTAAACTGCTGCCACGTTCTATTTATGACGTGCTGACACAAATTTCAAATGATTTTCAACGGTCGCTTTGTTGCGTCCAGTGTAGACAGTCTTTAGCTGATGCGGCGCAGCGCGACACGGTGTAAGGAGAGATGACTGAGGACGATGGCGAATGATTTGCAGATCCCCAATACCACTGACAAATAGGGATATGCCAGTATCAAATTTTCATGTTGCGATTAATTGCTAATGCTTTTATCACGGTATACGGTATTATCACGATATTGAATTTTTGTTTTAAAAAAAGTGCTGTCATAATACAGTATAACAGGTTTAATAACTTTTTTCTCATAACATAAATAACTGAACATTTAAATGCAATAAAGCAATACAGAAAAATGTATAAAGTTAAAAGTTTTACACAGATTAAAGTGCAAAAGAACTATAAAGACCAATAGGTATCACTTTACAATAAGACCTCATTAGTTAACCTTAGTTAATGCATTAACATTCACAATGAGCAATAGCTACATTTGCTACAGAAGTTATTAAACTTTGTTAAAAAATACAAATCTTAGTTCATGTTAGCTCATTAAATAACACAGTTGCAACTTTCGATTTTAACAATCTGGATGCCGGCTCCACATCGTGATGTCTATCAGCCATCAGCGATCGTCTATCGGCCCAACCCTATCGCACGTATCACATTGTCACATGCCTGCAAAAAAAAAATAAAAAATCACAAAAATGTTACTGAGCAACTGACGAGTAACACAGTTTTAGTGCAGATTTTCCTCGTGCTTTGACTTTGAACCTTGGCGCCGCGAGCTCGTGCAGCGCTGTCAGAATACATGATGTGATGCAGCACTAAACAGTATCTTGCTGTTGGTGCTTCGTGCTTGTAATGATTTCTGTGTCTTTCTCTGATAGATTTAAATACTTTCACGCTGCCGACATGTTTGCTGCATTAGTGCGTGCCTCTATTTGATCGTGTCATTGTTTGGTACATATTATTCGGCCGAACACTGAAAGAGATTTTTTTGCTATTTTTGGCTGAATAATTTCGGTTGCCGAACATTCGGTGCATCCCTAATGACAAGTAGTCAGCCTAATAAAAGGAAACAAAAAAACACCGCTTACCTATAGTAGCGAGACTGCAGGTACGTCGAACACACAGCTTTGGAGACGTGGCTGGCAGAGCCAAAGTCAATCACTTTCACACGGAAGGGTTGCCTCACAGGATCTACCAGCATAATGTTCTCTGGTTTAAGATCGGCATGGATCAGGCCCAAGCTTTTGAGCTTCCTAAGCGCCGTGGCCACCTGTTGCAGAACGGGCCTAATCACCTTCAGTGGCAACGGACTGAACTTGTTCTGCTTGAGGAAGTCGTACAGGTTCTGCTCCAGCATTTCGAACACCAGACAGGTGTGGTTTCTGTGCTGGAAGCACTCGAAAGCCCTCACCAGGTTATGCTCCTCTGCGTTCTCCCCGCTAAGTCGGGCCAGGATGCTCACCTCGATCTGGCCCTGGCGGGCATACGATGGGTGGTTCTTCAGTATCTTCACTGCCATGATCTCATTGGTGCCTCGCTTCCAACATTTGACCACCTGACCGAACGTACTACGTCCCAAGAACTCCAACACTTCGTAGGTGTGCTTCATGGAGCACAGCACTTCATGTTGGACTAACTGATAGTCGCCATCGACTGTCCCATTCACGGCTCTCGTCCCAGTTCTGTTCTGCTCGGGCAGGGCCACGCCTACCACGGTGGTGCTCCCAACGTTTGTTTGCAACATGGCAGGTAGAGTCGAATGCTCCTCTACTATCTGCATGATGCTCTTGTCGTTCTCAAGCTCAGCCCCTTTGCATTTAAACCCACATCTTTGGGTTCTGTCAAACGAATTCAAACCACCGTTCCTCTCGATTCTCTCCGCCCCTTCCGGAGCACCGCCACTGTTTCTACTACTACCACTTTGGCTGTTTTGGCCACTGTCTCCACTTTCTTCTTCAACTGCCGCGGCCGCTCTGGAGAAATACTGAAGGTCGCCCTCCGATGCCACACGTTTGTATGGCGAGGAAGCCCTTCCAAGGAGCTCCTGTGGAGCTGTTTCAGTCTGTTTCGAGATGTCCCATGCAGCGCAGGGTTTCTCGCTGGTTAAAGCTTCGATTCTCGATAAAGGTATAATATCCGTAGGGTGCGCAATGCCTAGATTCACACCGACCACATAAGTGCGAGGGATCTTCTCATGGTAAACACAGCTGCTGGGATCGATTTTCTTCGCTCTGCAAAAGGCACTTGTCTGGGGTTGATAAACATGTGGTGGGCAGACCGTAACCTGTGAGGCCATACCTATAAAAGGACAGAGGGGAAGAAAAGTGTTAGCCTGTGTTAGTCATTTCCTTGATGCTGTTTACATTTTTATACAGTCATAATCATCAAAACAAAACCTCCTGCTATTATAAAAGATTCAAAACAAGCAAGATGGCTTGTTGAATGAATTACATGTTAAATACAGGGCAAATAAAGAAGATCTCACTAACTCCTGAAGGGAAAGTTTATAAAGCTTAAAAAGCATTTTAAGTGTACCATGGGGCTACACAAAAAAAAAAAAAAAAAAAAAAAAACTGCAAATACAACTGTGT